TCCACTCAAGGAGGAAGCCTCAGTGAGACCTGATTTTGTCTGAGCTCCAAAGTCAAGCCAGGCTGGGAAGAGCCCAATGCCCACCCTCAGGTGCAATGCTGGCTGGCACTTTTCTGCCTCAGTGACCCCTTACTGGGGTTTGCGTCCATGCTGGGACAGGCTCCGCCATGGTGCTCAGCCCCCACACCATCTTTAAGGGCTGAACAAAACCACGAGACTAGTCTGCATGGAGGAAGTCACTTCATTAGGGCTTTTTCCTGTCTGGGGGACAGATGTGTTTGGATTTCAGTGGAGGAACTGAAATTTCAACAGCTGACCTAGAGACAGCTGCTGCAGAAACCCAGAGGGGGGGGGGGTCTTGTGTTTTGAGGAGTCACCTGGCAACACCCTGTGTTGCTGCTGACCCAGAGCAGAGGCCAGCTCCTTGCTAATGGGCCCAGAGGCGATCCTGTTTCAGGCTGTGTCAGGAAAAAACAGTGTGGTCAAGTCCCAGGGACTCCTTGCTTGGGTCACAAAAACACCAAGACACCACCTGAGAACAAAATCCCACACGAAATGTAAACGAATAGCACTTATGACAGCTGTGGGAAGTGAAGATTTTTAAAGAAACAAATAAGTGCAGATGAATTTATTTTAGAACATCTGAAATTCTGAGGAAATGGCCTTGGGTTTATAATGCCTGTGGATTCTGGTGTTTACAACAATAAGCAGAAGTACTGAGATTGGGGTTTTAAATCCTTTAAGCATCTCTCTATAAAACCAGTTCATGCTAGCTAGCCATTTTTTCTATAAAGCATCTCAGTTTGTTTCTCACTTTTCCCCCTATGTCAGAGCTATGGCAAAAAGAAGGGAGGTTGAGGAAGGGAACACATATTTATAAAGTACTCATTCTGTGCTACGCATTGTGCTAGAAGTTTTGCCCACATAAACATAAAAATTATAATTCTCAGTCAGGAATGATTATGATACCAGTTTTAAACAGGAAGAAACTAAAGCTCAGTTTATTTAAAATATGTCTAAAACCAAAAGGGGAATGAGCAGCGGAGCTGAGATTGAAATGGGGTCCTCCTGGCTCTCAAATCTATGCTCTTTCCATTCTACCACGTCCCTTCTCACAGCCCGACACAGGCCTTTGTTTTCTGTTACGCAGTGAGGCGGCACTGCCACCAACAAAGAGATCACACTCCTCCATTTGTTCATGGAAGTCAGAGAGGACGGGCCCATAAATTCAAACTGAGAGTGAATGCACTGGTCTAGTTTATCAATGAAGACCTGCTGTAGCACATTTCTCTATTTTGCCAGGTATTTAAAAATCTTCATTGTTCAATGCTTCTCACCTTGCCCAGTGGAAGTTGGCAAGCACTGTTGTGCTCACTTAATAAGCCAGTTACCCAGGGAATGGCCTGGATTAGAAGCTGTGATATGGAAGGCTCATGCATAAGTGCTTTGAGTTTCCTGTCTAGATGCAATGTGTAATTTGGAGGTCTACTTGGTGGGAATCCAGTTAGGAATCCGGCAGATATGATTGCTTCAGAGCTTTGGAGTCAAGGGCACTAGCCCTGCCTTGCTATCCTCTCTCTCTGATTACTTCTCTGTAGGGAGATCCTCTTATTGCCCTTTCCTTTAAGAGTTGGTAGCAGAAGATTCTGACCTCAGCCCTCTCCTTGCTTAGTCTCTCCACTCATTCAGTCAAAAAGCTCTCAGTACATGTGCATGTTAACTGCCAGTTGGCTTTCAGGTCTGTTTCTGGCCCATCCCCTGTTCTGCTCTGTATCGCAGGCTCCCTTGCCCTCTAGCTTCTGGTTATAATTTATGAAAGAGACCATGTAGCACTGAAAGGTGATTAAAAGGAGAAGGCCAGATACTTCCTACTCCACCACCCTTCCTGTGGCGCTTCACTGGTCACCCATCCACCAGTCCTTACTGCGGTTCTAGCTCCTGTCCGACAGTGGGCTCCCCTCTTCCACTGTCTCTCCACCCCTAGGGGTGATGGCAGCTTCTAGCTGTGACTGATCTATGGGCCACCTCATTGCTCCCCATTTGACTGTCCAGCTTTTCCATTCCCTTTTAAATTAATTATCTGTATTAAATATCATCAGCTTGAAAGACCTAGAGGACTGTTTTCCTGGCTCTATCCTGACTGACACAGATAGCATTCTTAGTTATAAGCTACAAAAACTAACCTTGACATTGGCAGGAAAGAAAATGATTAGAAAGATATTGGCGAGATCAAGGAGCCTTGTGCTCTGAGATCACAAGAGAAGGAGCAGTGCTCAGAACCCTCCAAGTCCACTGTTTGGGTGAAGCCATGTGTCACCAACACTAGATGCTTGAAGTTACCATTCAAATTATTGTCTCTGTCACTATCTGTCAACAGAATCAAGTCTGGACATTTCCTATTTCATGACATTAGCTCCCAATTTAGAGACCGTAATGGGTGCATCTGATTGACAAAGCCAAGGTCGTGGGCCCACCCCTGGCCGAACATGCATCTTACATTTTCAGTTCCTATCATGGGAGATGCCCTATTTATAGGTAGCAGAATTCCCTAAATACAGGAGAGGGATTTGGATGCTGAGTGGCAATTCTGTTTGAGCAGACCTTGAAACAGGGATTCAGGTATAGGTGGTTTATTTGGGAATTGGGGGAATCCCAGGAATCACTGGTATGGAAGTGAGATAAAGGAGGGAAAACAGATAATGGAGGAAAAGTTATCAATCAACTTATTGCCATGGGGTAACCAGAGCAGCTGTCTCAGAGTCACCCCCGCCTTGCTCAGAGCAGCTGAGATGGGGCTTAACTCTCCCAACTTCCAGCCTCCCTCCCTCACGTGTGAGCTGAGTGGGCCTCAGCAGCCAGAGCAAACCTTCAGGCAAATAAATATGGGAACTAGTGGTTGAAAGTTGGGCAGGTGTCAGCTGAAAAGGTAAGGGATAAAGGATATGGCAGGGCACTGAGAGCATCTGCCGCAGGGCATAAGATGAAAGGCAAAGGTCCCGGGCACTAGGCACAGCTAAGTGTTCAAGATACAACACTGAACGAGAGAGAGGCATTCCTGGCCTTGCCAAGCTGCTGGTCTCAGGATTCGGACGTGAATCGGCAAGTACAATACAGTGGGACACGAGCAATATCAGCGGCAGCCTGAGGAGCTAGATCTAGACATCTGGCCTCAAAGACCCAGGGGGATGGGGATGGCATCCTATTTATTTTTGAATCCCCACTGCTCAGCATTGTATCTATTCAATACATGTTTTCTGGCCAAACACCGAACTGTCAGGCACAGTCCTGGTGGTATTAGTTATATTCATTGTCTCTGTTTCTCACTATAACCTCACAAGGTAGATGAGTCTCTGTTTTACTGGGAAGAAAGTTAAGCCACTTGTAGTTACTCTTAACCGTCTGACTAGTCCTAGTCATTCTATATATCTCAGCTTTGATGTAATTTGTCCAAAAGTCTTGCCTGCACAGTATGCCCCATCTCCAAGCCTGGGCTATCCCTATCAGAGAACTTATCTTCTGATTGTAATTGGTAATTCATTCTCGTGTGTTGTCAGGAGCTGAGCCCTTTCAGAGCAGGAACAATGCCTGTTTTGTTTAACAATACAGCATCCATGCTGGAACACTCTAGATGTGCAAACCACATTTACACTGGTCATTTTGTGAATGACCTGAATAAATAAAAAGACTCAGAGATGTTGAGTAACTTGACCACCTCAAATCTAAGAGGTGGCAGAACTGAGGCTTGAACTACAGTTGGTTTGACCCCCAATAATCCTACACTTTGCTGAGCACTAAGGAACTTATCCATCTATGGCATCTAGAACATTTAAGTTGGCTTAAAGACTATTTTAAGGTCAAAGTAATGGGGCAGGAAATATCTAAGAACTTTCCATAATCATCAGACAGAGGAATTACAAAGCAGAACTCTAGACCTAAAACTAGAAGAAGGTTCTTAGAGAACAGGGCCCCCTACTCAAAGCTTTGTTTGGACTGGACACTTTAAAAATCCCCCCTAGACTTAACATTCTAAGGATTTTAACCTAATCTCTAGGTAAAAGGAAAACAGCTCTCTCTAGCACCAATAAGTAACTGTTATTCAAATTGGAAAGAAAGAAAACTGTGACTATTTTCTGATTACATGATTTCACAGATAGAAAACCCTACAGACTCCACCAAAAAAACTACTTAAAATAGTAAACAAATAAAGTTTCAGAATACAAAATCAGCATAGGAAACTCTGTTGCGTTTCTATATACTAACAGCAAACTATCTGAAAATGAAATGGGGGAAAACTATCCCATTCATAATCCCATCAAAAAGAATAAAATACCTAGGAATAAACTGAACAAAGGAGATGAAGGACTATACCCTGAAAATAAGACATTGTTGAAAGAAATTGCAGAAAATACAAATAAATGGAAAGATATTCTGTATTCATGGATTGGAAGAATTAATAATGTTAAAATGTCCATACTACCTACAGCACTCTACAGATTCAGTGCAATCCCTATCCCAATGGCATTTTTTCACAGAAATAGAAAAATCCTAAAATTTGTATGGAACCACGAAAGATCCCAAATAGCCAAAACAATCCTTAGATAAAAGAACAAAGCTGGAGGTATCACATTTCCCAATTTCAAACTACACTACAAAGATACAGTAATCAAAACAATATGGTACTGGCAGAAAGAAAGATGTACAGACCAATGGAACAGAATTGAGAGCCCAGAAATATGGACAACTAATTTACAATGAAGTAGCTAAGAATATAAAATGAAGAAAGAGAAGTTTCTTTAATAAATAGTGCTGGGCCACTACTTTAGATGATACACAAAAATTTACTCAAAATGAATGGATTAAAGACTTGAATGTAAGACCTGAAACAACAAAATGCATAGCAGAAAACAGGCACTAAAGCTTCTGGACATCCGTGGCTGTGGTGGTGTTTTTGTGAATTTGTTTCCAAAGGCAAGGAAAACAAAACAAAAATAAACAAATGGGACTACATCAAACTAAAAAGCTTCTGCACAGCAAAATAAACCATCAACAAAACAAAAGGGCAACCAACTGAATGAGATAATGATATGCATTTAAGAGGAATATTTGGAATTCCACAGCAAAACATTTCATGATTCTTCTTTCTGTGTTCCATCATTTCTTTTTCTTGCATTTGAGAAGTAAGCTTAGAGACAAAAATAATACAAACCCACATTTCCTGAGTCAGACAAAACAAAGGTAGACTTTCACCATCCCTGTAATTTGTCAATGTGCCTTCTTAGATTAAGATAAATTTGACAGTACAAAGGAAAATTACTTTAAAAATCATAGCTGTGCTGGGCATGGGAAACATAATCCTATAATATTAAAATTCTTTTGAATTTAGTTAATAAGTACAGCTCTCACAATGCATGAATATGGTTTTTAGAATAAAAGTGAGGTTGCATTATTCACATTCAGCTGGGCAGCCGAGAGGATCTGGCCAATTTCCCATATTTGCGCTGCAGAAATGTGGCGTGGATGACATCGGAAAGAAGAAGACATACTGTGCCCGGTTGTATTTTCCCAAAATGGCCGTGTTAATATTTCCAGTCCGACATGTTCTTGCAGAACTTTCTACTTCACCCTAAAGAGATAGAGTCTATTTCTCTTCTTGGGTAATGCTTTCTGAGTACCTTGAATAAAGGAATGGAGAGAAAATGATGGCTGTGTGACTTCCAAGGTCAGGTTATAAAAGGTGATACAGTTCCCACCTGGCCCTCTCTTGGGAGACTCGCCTTTGGAACGCAGCCACATGTAGGGGTTCCAGCCAACCACCAGTATCACATGAGTGACTCTTCAGGTGATTCCACTCTTCAGCCTTCTGGTCACCCTACCCGATGCCAAATAGAACAGAGAAAAACCCACCCAAATTACTCACCTGTGAGCAAAATACATATTGTCATTGTCTTAAGCTACTGTTTTGAGGTGGTTTGTTCTACAGCTACTGTAATACTTATCAAGTGTTTTCATTCTGTTTTATCTTCTATCAATAGTTTAAGTCACTTTTCACCAGGAAAACTATTTAACAATCATTTCCAATCACATTCAATAATTCATATATTCTGGTATCCGATTGTCTCAAAATAACTGCCTTGTAGCCACTATATATTTGGTCACTGAGCAGAATCATGTGAGAGCTATGCTTGTTCAACTGGAGCAATGCAAATTCTTAATTCAAAAATTATAAAAGTAATACATACTCATGACAATTCGAGCTTTATAGATTTTTAGCAAAGAAAGAAAAAAGAAAATTCCACTTTGTTGCCTAACTTTCCCTCAATTCCCCGTCTTTCTAAGGTAACCATATCTAGTATATGCTTTCAGACCCTTCTCAGCTTTCCTACACTATTATATATCTTCCCTTAAGTACATATCGTAGGCAAATTCCACTACATAGATCATGAGCTTCTTATTCATAATAATCATGATCAAGGTATGAAGATATGATGATGGTTGCCATTTTTTTTTGTTATCTCTTACTATGTGCCAGGCAATGCAGAACATGGATAGCTTGACATTTGCTAATGTGGGAGTATTTACACAACAGAAAATGGAAAATACAAAAAAATCAGGGCTTCTGTTCCTGGAAAACCAGTTGTTAAATTTACCAGCAAGAATCATGTTTGTCTTTGCGTATTGATGCATCCAGGATAGTGTCTAGACATGGAAGGCTCTCAATAAATATTTGTCAAATGCATGAATAAATGTCCCAAATCACAGGCTCAAACAATATTCCAGTTGATGCACCTCTGAAATGAATGTGACTTACCAGTTTGTGAGTGTGCATGCTTCCAAAATGCAAATTCTATTTACTCTGTTTTTAGACATTTCTCTATTTGGATAATTAGATTGCCCTCTGTGTGGGTTATCGGAGACAATGACATAGCTAAAGGATGCAATTTACACACAAGGGCATAGTTCCCCAAGGGTCAAGGGGTCATGCTAAAATAAATTTAAACCTCATAACCAAAAAGTATCATCTTTTCTACCCTCATCTCTTTTATTAGCTTTGGTCATATGTGTGTGTACACGTGTGCATGAGCACACGGGCATATGTAGATCTTTTTGGAGAAATCTACATACATAACAAGTAATATCATCTTTAGACAGAATTGGTTGGGAGGCTTGGTGGTATATATGGAAGAAAGTGTGAATAATACAATATTAAAAGGATAGCAATGCAGGATTTGCCTTCTGTCCAAGAAAGAAAATCATACCTGTAAGATGGTTGCCTCCAGCTGTAAACACTGCCCAAGTAAATATCAGCAACTTATGCGCTTCAGGCCTAGAGAAGCCAAAGCGATGGTGACAACTGGATAGAGCACAAAGGCAATCCTGAAGAACAAAACTGTGGCCGTTATTTGACCATTAAGACCTGTTGCAGGTTTCAGGTTGCTGACAATAACTATGATTTGCAGAATAATAGATATCTACATGGCACTTTGCCAAATTCCATCTCTGCTGAAAGTGCAAATGCTTTCCAAAGCAGATTTATCTTTTCAATAAACCCTCTTGTGTGCTCCAAGGTATTCTTTGGGGTCCGGCTGGTTGTGAAGAAGATGAAGGATAGTGGTTTTGATATTGACTCACCATTTATTCTTTAAGGCTGGTCCCTTTCAGTGCTGCACTGATGAACAGGCATTTAGTTGAATTCTTTTTTCTTTCCCTTTTTTTGGGGGGGAAGGGGAGGTGAGGGGAATTTCAGGAAATGTTAGCAATCTCTGTTCTGTTTCTATGAAAAAAACTCATTAGGGTATTACAAATAATGGTATAGCTTACTGTGAAAGTTATGTATCACCGCTGTAATTCCTTGCTTCTGGGACATAGCAAAAAATTTTCACCACTGAAAATGCAGTCATCATGCTGGTAACATCTCCCAAATCAAAGGCATTGGAAAACTGCAAAGAAGCCAGTTCCCTATAGAAATCAAAGGGAATAAAATTAAGGGAATGTCTAAGAAAATTTCTAGCATTCTAAAGCTTTGACAGGTCAGAAAATAAATTAACTTACCAAGAAACCTTAAATGAAAGAATAGAAAAATCAAAGTAGGGCACATTGCAAAAGTCCAAGAATGAGTCAATATTAGAAAAACCTATTAGTATAATTCACTAAATTAAAAGTCACAAGAGAAAAACAGCTTTCTCATCCTATCCCCTTTCCCTTCCTGAACAATTCAGTCCAAGAAGAAGTGGGGCGTGTTGATATTCTTCGTATATTTGAGTTTTTATAATACCAAGTCTTCAAATCCATTGTCTTTTACACGTGGAACATCTCTCAGTTCAGACTAGCCACATTTCAAGCATTCAATAGTCACAAGTGACTAGTGGTAACTGTATTGGATAGCCCAGCCTTAAACTGAAATAATCTACTTATGAGTTTGCTGTCCCTACAAGAAGTAAACTACTCAAGGGCAAGGTCAATGTCTTCCTTGTAGTATCATAGGTGTCACATCAGGGCCTGGTATCTAATGAGCACTCAGTAAATGTTGGCTAAACTGAAATGACCTGAAGGTATTTTGAAATAAGGTGGAATTAAAAAAAAAAAAGTATCTTTATTGTTGAAAGTACTGAGAAGGTGGGATTTTAACAGCTGTTCAAATGAAGAGCAGCTTATGCATACTTATAATAATTATGATGATAGGAATAATAGCTAATATTTTTGTCTTGGACAGTGCTCTATTATTTATTTATTTATTTATTTATTTATTTATTTATTTATTTATTTTTCCCTGTAAAACTTGGGAAGACATCACCAGTTTCTTTTTTCTTAAAGAATGTTTTATCTTATTTTTAATATATCTTTATTGATTCAGAAAGAGGAAGGGAGAGAGGAGAGGGAGAGAGAGAGCTAGAAACATCAATGATGAAACACCAATGATAAGAGAGTCGTCACTGATCGACTGCCTCCTGCACGCCCCTCACTGGGATGGAGCCTGCAACCTGGGCATGTGCCCTGACCGGGAATCAAACCTCGATCTCCTGGATCCCAGGTCGGTGCTCAATCACTGAGCCATGCCCGGCCTGGCTCTATACTCTTTAAATGTGTTAGCTCATTTAATCCTCACAATAGCCCATAATCTATGTACTATTATTGCCTTCATTTTATGGAAAAAGAAACTTGACCCCAAATCATATTGCTACTAAGTGGAAGAGCCAGAACTTACTGAAATAGTTATAGAGCAACAAAGTAAATGATAAACACACCCACCACCCACAATAGACAAAAAGTAGAAAATAAACTATATCCACAGATGTTACACACCTACTCCAGTAGGTAAGTTTTCTCCTGAATCTCCCTTACCATCCCCACCAGCATCTTTTCTGAGGCTCTGTGATCTTCTGAGTTCTGCCTTATGCAGTGTGTAACTCTTGCCATGTTTTTGAACCAGTCCTTCGTGGTTTTAAATTTACTATCTTGCATTCTTGCCTTCTAAGTTGCTTGCATTCTGCCTGTCTTGTCAAAATGGCAGAGCTTTTCATAAACCACTCCAGCGAATAAAGTCACTTTTTTCAGAGCCTAATCTCCCAGTATCTGGAGAAAGAGTAGGGTATAAACAGCTGGCTTTCCTCCACCTCTGCCCAGAGAGGACCCAGTCTCACTTACATGGCCTGGGGGGAGGGGGAGCCATCACTGCTTTTGTTTAAGGGAACCAGGCCCAATTGTGCTTCATAAAAATGATGCAGATTGCCATTTTTTATTCTTTTGGTGTATAAGAATTCTATTATCTCCAAACCCCAGGAACCAGTACCACATCTGGCAAAGGAAATAAAGCTGGAGTCTTAAGGAGAAAATCGATTGGGAGAAGCCTTGAAAGTAGGCAGCCACATTTGGATTTGATATGGTGGCAAATAAAGAGCCCTGGAGGGTTTCTGAGCATGAGAGTGATGTGATGAAAACAGTGATTAAGGAAGATGAAATGCAAGCAGGACAAATTGAGGGGAGGGTAAGGATCAGAGGGGAGGCCCTCAACCAGGCCCAGGGAGGCGGAGAGAGCAAGAGAGAAAGTGGGGATATTAGGAAGGGGATTCATGATTCTATATAAATTAGTTAACATAAGACCATCATCAAACCACTTTACTACCAGGTTACTATGAGATTTTTATGCTCTTACCCTATTTGGGAAGGCAAAAATAAACCCATGAGGAGCTAAATATTTTCATTACAGTGATAATCAAATTTCATCTGTGAATATAACGGTTTAACTGTATGTATACCCTGCTGAGCAAATGAGCTTCATCAGGAGCATGCGAACAGTTCATGGGGCAGAAACGGAGCGCAGAAAAATTTATATTAGGCCCCTTTTTTCACAGAATAAACAAACACAATGAAAACAATTTTTTTAAGCAGCCTCATGTGGATGAAGCCCAAATGACAGAATAGAAACGGCTGTCCCCAGAGTGGCAGCTCCAGTCTGCCCTACAGGACTCTAAAAGCACCCGAGCCAAGTCAAGTCCTCCGCCAGCAGCAGGTAGAGGCTGACTCTCCGGTGAACCGGCATTACTTGTCAGAGCCTTGCATCCTAAGCAGTCATGTTCTTCAATTCTGGCTGCAATTGTAAGTGGTCCAGAGACTTAAGAGTTATTTGCATCCAAATTTAGATCTAGAGAGAGCCTTGGAGAACATCTGAATCCATAGCTTATAAATATTTTCAAGCAGCACACTCCTTTTGCCAATTAAATCTAATAGACATACAGCGGAGAGATATTAAAATGGGCTCCATGGAGAAGAAAGGACTGTGGTAAAAAGCCCAGAATTCTACCCACTCATTCTCTCCCCCTCCCTGTCCCAACGCCATCCCCAACCCCCTACAGAACTTACATACACTGTGGCAGACCCGGGAGTCCTCCCCAGGAAAGAAGTTTGCAAAAATACTAGAGTCTAGTATTTTTGTTTTTTGGCTTCTTGTGACAGATGAAAAAATTGAAGCCCAGAAAGCTTAAAACAGGACTTCCATTTCTATCCACACAACACACTAAATAACCTTTTAGCCTCCTTCTAGAAATGCATAGAATTCTAGCTAAATACAAATACCCACTTAAATGTATAAAAGGAACTCACAAGGACATGAACTCAATTTGAAAATATGGGTGTGACCTATAACCCTCTAATTCTGTGTCTAGGTATGTGTCCCAGAAGAGTTTTTTAAAATTCTTAATGGAGGTGCATCACTGGGTCATGGAGTCACTTTGGTAAATTGCAACCAGCATATTTTTTGGTGTGAAATAGACTAGATTTAACTGGATTATAACTGAATAAAAAATAAAGGTATTATTTTGAGAAACTTTTATTTCACATATATGTATTTATACACACACACAGACAAGTTCAGCACATATATGTGTTGAGTTTCCACAGACAAGTTCAGCACATATATGTGTTGAGTTTCCACATAAAATATATCTTTAACTGTGGGTGTAGATAAAAGTTTTTGAAAATGTTAATTTAGATGAAGCTTTTGTATGTTAGTCTAGGAAATATACAAGAACAATCATTGAAACATTGGTTAAATAATGCAAAATTAAAAGCAATCTAGGATTTCCAGTCAAGATGGTAGAGTAGATAAATGCTGTGCTCCTCACAACCACATTAAAACTACAACTAAATTATAGAGCAGCCATCACTGAGAACCACCTGAAGACTAGCTAAACAGAAGTCCTGTAACTAAGGATGTAAAGAAGCAGCCACAGTGAGACTGGTGGGAGGATCAGAGACACAGAATGGGCAGGTCCCATACCCACAGTGTGGTGATTAAGAATTGGGAGAGAGATCTTGGCTGTGGAAGTCCCCCCTGAAGAGCAAGGGGTCCCAGACCCAGCTCTCCAATGTGGGCACCAGCCAGGAAGAGGAAACCCCCATAACATATGGCACTAGAATTCAACAGTGGCATACAGTTTTTTTAATTATACTCTCCCGATTTTTTTGTTTTGTTGTTGATTTAAAAAAAATGCTTTTGTAAGTTATAGGTACTCACCTGAGACCAGATGGATGACTGGGGATAATCTGGAAGACACCCAGGACAGGATCCCGACTGAGTTCCAAGCTAGTCTTCTTCCCACATGGCTCCCAGTTCATGATCTGTCTGTAAATAAAGGATTTGCATCGTTTTGGACCTAATCTTAGTAATTTATTTTTACCTGAGAGATATTGTTCCCCGAAGACCATCAGGCCACATCTGCTCTGGCCAGAAATAGCACAAAGCACACTCGCTCTGTGAGGCTGGGCTGTTGCTTCACAGTCTGTTATTTGGCTCCGTTTTCCAACCTCACTCACTGATTACAACAAAATGCTGAGCCACTGAAAGGTCCTTAGAGAGAGAGATGATCTAAACATGTAGAACATATACGGTGGGGAAGAGACTGGTGGGGCAGGGAGAGAAAGGAGGGAGAGAGAAAGAGAGAGGGAAGGAGAATCAGCTTTGCACGCGGAAATAGACAAACACAGGAAGTGATCAAATTAATGTCAGAATATTGCTGAAAAAACATAAAACACAGGGTGTATTGTTGATGTGCATAACTTGAAAAAGTAGCACTTTTATAGCCTTTGAGCACAAATGCACAATCTATTGGGAGGGAGATCATTAACTTTTTTCTAGTCTATCTTAAGACAAAATCAATCAGACTAGCAATACTTGGCAATGACTGGAAATCCTTATGCAGAGAAATTTATTATGCTTCGGAAAAATTCAGGACAGTGGTTTGATCACGGCATCTTTTATAGCCTTCAAGTTACATAAGAGGCGCTACTTTTTCTTCTCGAAGCATAACTTCCAGGTCAGCTTTAGCTTTTCAGGTGGGCTGCTGCCAAAGCTTTCCGCTGTTGGAGGCAGTAACACCAACAAGAAGATGATAACCCTTATAGGAGAGGGCCTGCGACGGGTCCTCCTCTGGAGTCAAACTGCAAACTGTGCATAATTGTATCATTCAGATGCTTCTCACCTTGGAGCGCATACCAGTCATATGAACTGTGAGCACGCTCTTTTTGCGCTGCTGGAGAAAACAGGTCTGGGACAGAATGCCTTCCACTGTATCGAGAGCAATGCAGCAGCCACTAACAATGATTGAGCACATACTCTTATAAACCCTTCACCTCATTTAGTCTCAACCACCTTCTCAGGAAAGTAGTCTTGCTAGCCTCATTTTACAGCAAACAAAACTGAAACCTAGGAAGGTTAAGTAATATACATCAGGTCCTCCAGAAGAAGTGGTAGAGCCAGGATTTGGACCCAACCAGTTGCTGCTAACACACTGGACTTTTATGTGCAAACTAGGTCTGGGAGGCAGTATTTAAAATAAGTGGAGGCAGCTACTGAGATGACACCACCAAATTATATTAGGACCATGGGACCTGTGCTTCAGATACAGCAGGTCTAAGAGGGGCGTATTCACAGGCCAGGGAAGGTGAGGATGGTTTGCTAAAAATCAGAATCCTTTCCTTAGAGCTCCTAGCAACCTAGAATATCCACTACAGGGCGCCTGTGTGTCCTGCCCCACCTAAGTTATGACTAATTCTGCTACGGTCCTCAACCCTCAGAGCAAAAGTGGAGATGGACTTGACAATGATATTGGATGTAAGTCAGAATGCTTAAGCTTGAGTTCAGTATTGTCATCTACTAACTAAATAGATTCATTTTCATGTCATTTCTGTGAAATGAGAAAAAGAATGGCTGCTACATAAAACTGAGGTGGGATCAAACCAGATAGGGGCACAGAGAACTTTGTATACATTGTTGACACACAAGGTATTTTTCCTTTGTTCCATATGTCAAAGCAGAACATTACAACAAAATACTGGAAACATCTATGCAAGACCCACGCAGAACCCAAAGAGCCTTCCTTTGCACTTAGTGTTATTAACCTTGGTCAAGTCACTCTTCCTTTTTTTATTCCATCTCTAAGAGGAGGGGTATTAATCACCAAAGTCTCTTCCAACTTTGATATTTTGTGATTTGTTTTGTCCCAGATCTAGGAGGGCTAGACTGAGGTTTCTAAATGGTAGTTTGGGTACTTCCAAGTCATCTTATCCTTCTAAGGTAGACAATCATCACATTCCTCAGGTCCTACCAACCACACTGGACCCCAGAGGAAACCTAACAGCCCACAGATATGATTACCGTGGATCTAAATGCCCAAGTTCACGTGGTAGAGAAAAAAGAACTGGATTCTCTATCAAAGTAGGTGGATATCTGGCTTAGCAAGCAACCTGCTTAGAGTAGGGGTGATGGCATTCCAGCACTTTTGTTCTGGGTAATGCCAGACATATGAGGAATGCAGGATGGGGAGAACTTTGAGGGAGCTTCCAGCCTTGCAACCTCATGTCACTGCTTCATTAAGCATCACTTGAAAACTATGTCAGGTATGACCAGCCATGGCAAGCTGGGAGCCAGAGCGGGGCGCTCTCCAGGCTTCCCGCCTCTCGTGTTGGTCTTCCACGGCAAGACTCATGAAGTGTCACAAGTGTAACTTGCAGGAGTGAGTGTGGTCCTGAAGCAGCTGTGTGCTGGCTGAACGCTTTGCCAGTTCCTCCAGAAAAGGGCTGACCCCATTGCAAGGGAAGCCAGCCCCTTGGGAGCCCAGGGATGGGGCTGAGAATGACAGGTCCATTCTCTAGGAAAGTAAGTGATCAGTCACTCGGATCACAGTCTATTACATAGACCCTACCCCTGCCATCCATCCCCTGGGCTCTGACAGGCTGAAGCAGATGATAGGAAAAGTCACTTATGCGACATGGAGCCCTGTCTGCAGCCTGGAGATACATCATAATGCCCATGGCCAGAGTGGTTACAATGGATGAGCATGGGTGGCCTCCCGAATCACCGTGCAGTGGACACCCATTAATGATTTATTTCGTCTCTCTAGCAGGCCATGCTCACTCCGGCCTGGGGCCTCTGCACTGGCTACTCTCTCTGTTTCATTTGCAATATCACTTTCTTAGGCCTTCTGTGCATACACCCTCCCATGACTCTCTATCACAATGCTCCATTTTATATTTTATACAGCATTCTCATTATCTGAAAGGATTCTGTTCATTTCTTTTTCTGGTTTATTTTCTATTTTTCCTTTAGAATGTTAACTTAGTGAGAGCCAACATCATCTCTGTCTTCTCCAATCTATCCCCAGCACCTAGCAAAATATCTAGCAGATAATATGGGATCAATAAAAATTAGTAAGGTTAATTAATTTGTTAACTAGTTGGTTAATTCGATTTAGGACAAATGAGCACTAACAGCGGTGAGATTCCAAAGCTTCAGGGTGCCTTTCTTAGACACTTTGAAATGTCACCATTTCATGAGCCATGCCCTGTCCTCTCCCCATTAAAGATCTGACAGTCACTCTCTGATCCATAGGGAGTGGCTCCTGACAGCTCTATTTATACCACATAAATTTTTCACTGAGGGATGAATTTAATTTTAAGTAACAACAATAACAACGACCTCCAGCTCACTGTCATTTCGACAAATAAGGTATCATTTTTCTGGAATAAGAACAAATGAGGGGGGGGTTGGTGCAATCCAGTGTCAGTGTGACGGCTCAACCACACAGGGACCTTGGCCCTTTCTCCTTCGCATCCTCTGTTCCTAGCACACAACTTTCATTGGTGCTTGACATATCATGGTCACATGATGGCTGCTGCACCACCAAGCATCATATCTGCATTCCAGAGAAGAGGAAAAGCAAAAGGAGAAAGCCATGCCAGGTAAATCTGTTGTTACTTTTTCCTGGGTCCCATGGCTACCCTTACACCAATTACTGACAGAGGGAAATGAAATTACTAGGTATTGCCACTCTCTCCTCAAAAAAACAGATGTCCCACAACAAAATGAACTAGAGTAGACTTGACCCAAAATCCAAGCTGAGGCTTACAGAAACTGAGCGCTAAAGGTGGGTCCCTTGAGCGATCATGTTTTTAAACTTTAAGATTTGATTGCACAAATTGTTCAAATTCCATCATAGGCTCAAATATCTTCACAATATATTTTCCTTAGCTAGCTCAAGATAAATTTTGTTATTTAAAACTAAAGTGTCTGTTACAGGAGCAACTAGCTACCAGCATTCCACACGGTCAAGCAGGCGGCACTGCGTGGGAGCAGCAGAGGGTCAGACAATCCACCCACACCTCCCTCAAGAACCATTCTCTGTAGCAAACACTCTGCTTCTCCGGAGGTGACCCAAACACTGAGACATTATGTCATCAGCCTCACAACCTCCTCCTCTTCATCTTCAGACAGTATTTGCTGAGGTCCCAAGAGGCCTGCTGGGCACTGAAGGCCTGCCTTGTGATGGAGGAATGGGGGCTGTGCAATAACACCCACACTAACCAGGGAGGGAATGAACTGCTGAGATGTCACATCACAAATCTATGACAAAGGCCAAAAATATACTGAGCCTTTGAATTGTTAGCCGAGTACTTTTTTTAATTTGTGAAGCCACCTAATTATTCAGGACACACAGCCATCTACAACCCTACAATTAAGAAAGATCCCAATGAACGAAAAGCCTGGCCAGTCCAGCTTAGAATTCTGTCCCTGCTAATAGTCACAATGAATATTTCATGAATGGTTGAAAGGATTGTCGCTCAAGCATTCTGCAGGGATTCCTCTACAGATCTCTGACTCTGTCATCTATGAACTTGATCTACATTCTTCTTCAATGTATACATCTCTTCAATTTACACAAATTTTAGACAGGATTTTTCAGAGTGTGTTGCTTGTAGCTTATGTGTGTCAAAGGAACAAATGGTTCCATGATCATATGACTTTGGAAACACCTGGTTAAAGAAAGTTGAATGACTTCATTGCAAGACATCACAAAGCCTTTAATATTCCAAGGTGCATAATGAATAGCTAAGAGAGAGACTTAGTGTGTGGCATCTTCCAGATTTGTTCAACCACAAATATTTTTCCTCAGCGTATAACTGAAAGTCTGGTGATTGAAGAGGTAAGCTTTGGAAAGCACTGCCGAGGGGAAGGGGGCAGGGGTTACATCCTAGAACCTACTACCTCTTCTAAGTCTCAAGAGGCATATTCTATGACTTAGTGACGTAGGCCACTGGGACAAAAGTTTGGACACTATGTGTATGCTT